ATATATTATAATTAAACCTTATTATATTATTTCATTGATTAATAATTAATACCTATGATATATAATATAAATAAATTATAAATATTTTTATCTAATTTAAAATATTTAAATCAATGATAGTGAAAATGGTATGATTTGATAAGAATTTAATTTTGAATATGTATTTAACAACCAGTACCAGATAGTCGACTTAAAATAAGTTTCAGATTAACACTTATTAAGTCTGAAAGCTAAATATCAAAAAGACAAAATACGATTTATATATCAATGAAACGTGTGAACTAAATGATAACATCAACTAAATAATTAATAATGATCAATTTTAAAACCATAAATCGCAATTTGTATTTGATTATGTTATGGTATTCTTAGAATTAGTCAAAATTGTCTCCTCAGTATTCAGTTCTCTATTTCATAGCATATTTCAATATTACGATTTAGGATACTAGTACCAAACTAATCGTTTTTTTTTTTCTTGAAGTCTTATGTATAACACCGATTACGGACTATAAGAATCACTCAAGTGATATTTAAAGTAGTTAAGTATTTCATACCGTGGCCACAGATTATCATGTGATCATAGAAATAGTTTCATAATTTAATTTCAACACAAAAAAAAATAAGAACCAATAGTTTAAAATCAAATCATGTACAAAGTTGATATCAAAATATGTATTTTAGATTACATATTTGATATTATATACACTGAGAATAATAGTTATAATTCTTTCTATACTAAACAGCTGATTTTTGGTGATATCACACAGTATTGTAAGCATGCTTATATTTAATTATTAATCAATAAACATCAATCAGTAGAATGGCACGGTGAGCTAGATCTGATGAAAACATATATCTATGTGAACATACCTATCTATTTTTTATTTATAAAACCATAGGCTTCCAATGCTTCCATAGTCTATATGTACCAGATGAAGAATAACTGTTATACTGTCGTCAAATAAATCTTGTTTCACCTTCACTATTTTTTGGATAGCAACTTGACACATTTATTTATAATATGTAATAGTATATTCTCAGTATTTCTGTGTATGATCTAAGTAGATAGTTTTTCTTTGTTTTTGAAGTTAGATTATAAAAACTAATATTTTTAAATTATTTTTCTTATTTTCTGATTATCTGACAGTGGAATTAGGACCTTTATGTTTCCTGAACTTTTATTAAAAAGTATGTCTATTAAATATCTATAGATACAATTTTATGAATTAAAATATAGTGATGTAATATATATAATTAAATATAGAAACAATATTCATATTCAATTTTTTTATTAAAAAAAATGGTTGAAATTAGCTTCTATTATTATTATTTATTTTGTACATTTGAGAGTTCTATATTATATTAAACTCCTCTTTGTTTGGAAAATAAATTTATAAAATTAATAAAAAAATCTGTTTTAATATATTTATGTATATATACATTAATGTGAATTAGTTTTGACCCATGTTGTCTTAATTGTCATTAAACATATTCAATTTATTTTATAAATATTAGTTTTAAATTAAAAATTTCTAAAATTATTGACAAAATGAAATACTATCAAACTAAAAAAATTTTGTACATAAATTTCTTTATATATAAGATAACAATTGAAATATGTTGGTAATTTTCTTACATATTTTTAAAACACTAGAAATGTATATAGGTAATGTAAGACTAATTAATATTTTATTATACTTTAGTTACATATGAATAATAACATATTAAATATTTTTGTAGATGAAACACCAAAATTACAACATTTTTCGGCAGAAATTGTACAAAAAGAATACTGTCAAGCAGTTAAAGTAATTAAATTAAAATATTTTTACTTTATTGTTTTAGATTCTTAGCTAAGTTAAAAAGCTATTGGTTTTTGTAATAGCACTTTTGAAGCAGTAATATTTGTATTAATAAAAATACTATTAAAACATTTTTAACTCCAATATTGTTCTACAGGAGGATAATAGATATAAAGTTAAAAAAGGATTGAAATTTTATCGAGTAAAAATACAACTTCTTAAGGGACCAAATCATCGACGAGCAATATCAACTTCAGATAGTTCATCTGTCTCAGTAACATATGTTCAATAATTAAAATACAACCGTGTGATAAATTTATTTAATTCATAAGTTAATACTCAAAGTAACTAGAAAGTTTCATAGTCAATATTTTACTATTCATAAAAAAGAATTATAATTAAGTTATTGAAGTCATAAATAAAAATTAAGTTATTTAGTATTGGCCAATTTTAATACACAACTGATTTAAATTATATATTTGTATATAATTCTAAAATGTTTCTTTAAGTAGATTTGATATGTTTACAAAAGTTATAGAATTATTTTAAAAATATTTAAGAGTTTAAATAATATTTTTACATCAAAAAAATAAATGACATTTATTTTCTTCAAAATTACTTTTGTAGTATTTATGAATTTGATAATTAAAATGTTATATTTTAATCACCCAATGATTCTCATTTTATTCATTATATTATAATTTTAGATATTATATATTTTTAATAATAGTTTTTTTACTTCAATATCTATTTTAAATTGAATCTTAAAAACATTATTTTTTTAACAATTTTTGTTAACCTCATATAATTATTATATTATATTATTTGTCACTGTATACTTTTTATATGCACTAAAAAAAGCCTTATAGAGTTTTTCATATCAAAATATTAGTTTTTTAAAGTTTGTGCAATTTTAATATTTTAATTATTTCATAAACATGTTAATTTTCTAATATAAAAGGGTAAATATTAATTAGATGCATACATTTATATATACATAAATTTTAGAAATAAAGTTATATTATTATGTTTAGTGACAGTGTGGTGTCATTTGAGGCTTTACTAATATTAAGTGGTAAAATAATTATCATTTGCCACATAGTTTTAAACTAGTAATTTTTCATGGGCCACTGTTCATTTTAGTAGATATAATGCACAGTTATACGTTTGTAATTTTGTATTTTGTACTTATGACCTTAATATATTTAAATATTTATGAGACAACAGTTAAAATATTATAAATTAAAATAAGTTTATAGATTTATATTTGAGTATTTTTATATTTACCTATTTTATGTATAATTGTACCTGCCATTATCCTTTATTTTAAATTGTATCTCATAGTTAGAATGTTACGAATTAATTCATAAATGTTAAACTTTTAAATTTTAATGGATATTCAATACATTAATTTGTATTTTATTAAGTTCAACAAAATTATGTATATTTTATTATATTGATTTATGTTTAAGATTTTTTGATTTTTAATTTGTATACTATTTCTCATGGTCCAAGTGTTAGGATTGACAATCTTCGGTTTTACACTAATATTATTTTCACCAAAGATAATAAATAGTCATACTGTAATATTTTGATTTTAATAATTGTTTTGTGCAATAATTATTTTTGTGATTGCAATTTGTACATACCGCCTATGTATATAAAAATTAAATATATATATAGGTATTATGATTAAAAGTCGATATTGTTAATTTTTATTGTTAAGAAAAAATAACTTTTATGTAAAAATGTATATTTTATTGTATTGTATGTATTATTGTCATTATAATTTATAATAATTTTGACTGTCTATTTTTGGTACATTGATTATTTTTTGTTCCATTATTTTACTTAAATTATACACCATTAAATTTGATAAATAATATTTAAATATCCATTTTTAAATAGTTTGACAGTATACAGACATAGGGACTTTAAAACTTACTACTTATAAGTTCACTTTATTAGAATTTTCCTTAAATCATAGTAAATGATAATTTCTCATTAGTGTGTATGACTAATCGAATCTAGGATAAAATCATTTAATATGCAAAATAAATATTAACTCCTAGATCATATAATCAAATTTATGTTGATGTATGTGTAAACGTAAGTAATGTATCTCATCTTCCTTCTATATCCTTTTTCTCTCATAATAATTTTACTTTATATCTAAAAATTTTCTTTAAAAACATGTTAAATCTTAAGACCCAACTAAAAAAAGTATAAAATAACTATAAAATTATCTATAAATAATTAAAAAATAATCAAAATATTTTGAAAATTATACCATGTATAAAATACAAAAAAATAACAAACATTTGGTAACAACTTCAATAGTGGCAGTAGTGGCATACCTAGGATTTTAGTACAATAAGTCTGGCCCACTTACGAGAGGCCACTGAGACGAAAATTCAGCCAACTAAGTATTACAAAGTCGCTAGCGACTATTATCCTTATTAAATAGATACTTATATTTTAATACTAATTCAATATGAATAGATGACAAGAGTCATAGCTAATTTGTAAGTGATATTTATAACTTATTAACAAATTTTAGGTATTATTAATTGATTGTTGCATTAAAATGTATATTCAATTAACAAATTTACCTGTTGTATTTAAATAATTTTAAGAAGAGATTATACATATTTATTATTTTATTTGAATACGTTTGTTTGGGGTGTATTTATTTAATTTTAATTTTCAATAACCGATTTCAATTTCAGTAATTTTGCAATAGATATCTCATATAGAGAAGGTAGTTCTAAATTCTAATCCAATAAAAAAATAATTCATTTATAACATTAGTATTTTTATCAAAATACATAAAAATTTAAGTATCAACTACCATAGCATACATAGTAAAAGTGAAGAACATAACAATAATTTTCTGTGCATTTTCTCTAGTGAAAATGTACTTAATGCTTTATTAAAATAAATTGTTTGTAATATGTTGCTTTCTATGCTCAACAGTCAATATTGCTTAATTTGATATTTTAATAACCGCCAATCGGTCTTCACTGTCTTTAGTTATAGTTAAGCAAAGTAATCTCTAATCTATGACCATGATCCTATCTCTTGGTTGCTTTGTGAAACCACGCCTCTTTATTATCTCATTATCTGTAAGCAAAACAATCAACAAATAAAAATATGTGATATGATTTGTAGGCATAATAACTACCAAATACGAATTCAAAATATTATTAGAGATAATATTATGCTCTTAGATATAACCAACTACGGTTTTCTGGCTTGAATCACATTATTATACTTAAGCGTAGGTACTTTTTCGTTACCGCACCATAATCTAAAACATAATATCGTGTCTATTTAATCGTATTGTCAATATTATTAGGACATTTTGAATAGTATTTTATGATAAGTCGGGTTCTCATATCGGTGCGCAGTCGACTTATAACAAACACATCGGGCACCCCGAATCCTGTCGGCCTCAAACTAACTACCCGTGGTGCCAACCGTCGGTGATTCGGACTTGCGCTCACCACTCGTGTTACCTTATCTAACCCTGACGACGCAAGCGAATTGTAACACACCCTATCAGTTCACCGACAATCACCACTGCCTCATCAATAGTACATTCCGTGGTAGTCTTAACAGCCGTTGCTCGAGCTTCGTGTCCTCCATAGGTGCGTGTCGCACAGTTTGATAATTGAAACACTACTTACTTCGTGATTGTGCTGGTGGATTCGTGTAGTCTAGCTGACAGAAGTGACTGTCGGCAACAGGCGACGGTGTTTTGTGAGGGCCTGGTTCTGCTTTGTTACACGCTCAAACGACTTCTGTCAACATGCAACGGGCACTTGGCGTTGGTCCCAAGGTAAAGATTATAATATATCCTAATCGCTGAGTTGGTAAAATATCCCTATTTAAACAATATGATTGTTCATTTTAAAATAGGGTGGTTAAATGTTTAGATGAATTTAATAGTTTCTTCTACCAGGTCATAGAAATGACAGTAATACAGTAAATTTCAATATCATCACTAATTTATATTATAGATGATACGAAATATATATTTCTATAAGCCTATAACAATTGGAGCTTTTCACTTCTTTCTCTTTTCAATTATTACAGTTGTTGTACACTACTTTTTTGTATTCATATAAACGATGCTCATAAAGAAATATGTTATTTAATATTACCTACTAATACTCAATACTTCATAAAATGTTTGATATTTATTTTGTTATATGAATTATTACTTGCACTAATATAAAATGAATGCAGGTCATGTTAGTATCGGTTAAATAGAGCTACTAATGTATACACTTTGATACTTCAAATGGCTCTCTTGAATTACTGACTATCATATTTCTTTACTTGTCTACAGTAGTCATTAAAGCATACAGCCTTGTACAATCCTTTTTATTTATTGAATTTGTTAGATACTTATGTTACTCTCAAAAGTTTAAAATTTAAATTCTGACTTGTTTCGGATATTTTGACATTATTTATTAGTTTTTGGTGGATTTATTTATGAAAACAATATATTAAAATATATTATAATTTGTTAGTATAATATTACTATGAATTATATATTTATTGTTATGTTTGACATTTTGAACAGAAAAGAAAATCAAATCGTATTATTGATTTGGATATGCAACGCTCCATAGGAGCTATATCTTCCATGGAATATAAACGTCGTACAATTATTAATGAAATCAATAATGTCGCTTATTCACTTCATAAAACGTCTTTGCCTGCAATTTACATTAATCCAATTAGAACAGGTGCTCCAAATTTTGTACAAGATGATATTTTAGGTATGGAAGTCGATCCAAGAGAAAGTAAATGGTATGTATATTTTATGTAAAAATTAATATTCTGGGTTGTATAGGATATTTAAAAAGCTTTTATTATTTCTATATCTATAAGCATTAAGAATATAATATTGTCTTTTGGTGGGATACTTATATATTGAACTCAAGTTAGGCTTAATTATAATTTATCGTTTTACCATTTTTTGGAAATTTTTTTTTTTTCAATTATTTTATGAAAGAATATTTACAATATGTAAGTGTTATTAATGCAATACCTAGTTAAATTTTTTATTACTGTGAAGTATTGACATGTAAGCTTGATAGAAGGGGGTGTCTAGTGATACCACTTAAATTCTTGTGTCTTGAGTTTGTTAATTAATTATTTAGTAGGTCTTGGAAAGCTTACAAATAATTATATTATAAAAAAAAAATGCTTTCTATAATATAAAATATAATTAGGCTTAATTTTACCTTGAAATGGTTTGTACTTTTGTAAAAATGTTTAAAGATAGCATAAAATAATGAAATATTAATTATTGTTTTCCTTTAACAATATTACTTTTTTAACATAAAATAATGAATTTATAACCTTTAGCTATAGTTTTAAAATGTTCTTATTTTTTAGTTTACTTGTCATATCCAGATACAACAGTGTAGCTATTTATAATGTATCCCAAAATGTTAAAATCTTTGATCAAATGAAGCGAATGACAATTCCACATGACCCAATTGATAATAATGGTTCGCCAAATTCAGCACATTGGCTTTGGGATGGTACAGTATTTACTGTTTGCACTATGGATTCTGTACATTTTTGGGATTCATTTACTTGTAAAATAATTGAAACTGTGAAAATGCGTACAAAAGTTTTAAACCATGTAATGGCTGCAAAAAAATATAGTGCTAATAAATTGGTTGCAGGTACTTAATAATTTAGATTTGAAATTAATTTAGAAAAATTGATTGGATTACTATAAAATATGTCATAGATTAGGCATAGAATTAATTAATTTCTTTAACTCAAAAAATAAATGAAAAAATATTATTATTTTCTAGTGACAGGAATAGAAGGACATGTATTTTTAATTGATATGTTCCATGGTATTGTTGTAATGACTATGAAAAATATTGAAAACAAACCAATAAGAACTATCAGTTGGCATCCATTAAATGAATTACAATATGTTACTGGCAATGACAATGGAAATATTTACTTATGGGATATTCGTTATCAATTGAATTATGTTTTAAAATTTCAAAGGGATGATTCTGGTGCACCTGTATCAAGCCTTACTAATCCAGTCATTGGGTTACGTTTTTATAATTACGGAAATGATATTATATCTGTGGATAGTATTGGAGGCATTAACACTTGGTAATAACTATTATTTATTATTTTATTAACAATTAAAATCATATTTGATTATTTTAAATATATATATATATTACTATAGAATAGTTAATTAATCAATTGACATTTACAAAATTAGTGGACTATTTATTATTTAATTTTTAATGCATTTTCATGTAATATTGATCCCTTAATATTAGATTCACTTTATTTTATTAAATAATAACTTTTTTCATCATGAGGTTGAAAACAAAAATCAAAACTCATTTCTTAACCAAAATTAAAGTAGTTTTCAATATTTAGAAATATTGTATTTAATTATTGAAAAAAAAATAATTAGTAGCTGCTAATAATATTTAATTCATTACAGGGAAGTTAGTACTGGTCTACTACGTCCTAATCACTATGAACCTGTACTGTTATGTGACCTAAACAAGAATCATATTTTTAAAGATTATCAGTTTGCTGTTACTGAACATTTGAAAGAAGACATCGTATTTTTCCCATCGAAAAAAGGAATGAGAATATTTGATATTGAAAGTGGTGAACATTTACCTTTTTCTAACGATATATCTATACCTATGAACTGTGCTACTTACGACACTAAACGATTTTGTGTTTATGGAGGCTCTAATGATGTAATAAAAGTATGGACACCTGAAAAAAAACTGGCGGAATTGAATGTTTAAAATGATAAATTATATTAATTTTCCTTGCGTTAACTTATTTATATGTAAAGTTATATTTTTGTATTTATTTAATTCATGCTAGGAAATCATTGATACTTTACTTGTTCTATAAGATTATAGTGAAATTTTACCTAGTTTCTAAGTTTGGAGGTAAATAATGATTGACATAGTCCCAAAAATATTTTGTCAAGACCAATGCCGGTTACAAGTTACATTCAAAATTATGCATGCTGGAAATATGACCATGTTTTTTAAAATAATTAATGTTGTTTTTCTTTAATTGAAAAATACCTAAAATAATAGGTTGCATTTAACTTATATTTAAAAATTATAAAAAGTGTGATGTTTTTAGGAAATATTTAACTTTCTTAATCAAGTTACATTAAATATTTTATAGGATAAGACATTTACATTAATAAATCAAAAAAATAATGTATTTATCATATTAAATTTGAAATGGCTTTCATTTAGCTAGTTTTAATTGTGAAGTCATAATCAAGTTAAAATAATCTACTATAGTAACAAAGTATATTAAAAATATAAACCTTACTATGCATATTATGATATATGTTCTGTTACAATTTAAAAATGACCCAATTCTGTCTAACGTAATCAGATCAAAAAATTAAGTATTTTCTGAAAAAGTAAGATTGTGTACTCTAATTAAAATTGAAAAATGTTTACTTTAATTATTTTTCTGTGATAATAAAAATAAATTCAAAATAGATTTAATGTCTTTCATAACTTATTCCTTTAAAAAAATTTAATATGTATCTGTTTTATTTGTGGTATTTAACTTTCTGAGTTCATTTTAACTATTAATTTAACAAAAATATTAAACATTAGCATTAATAAAAAAATGTATCCAATTGTTTATATATTCTCACTTAACAATCGGCATAGGTCCTCCATATCAAATTTGTATTTTACTGGATCCTAATATTTGATTAATTTTAGTTGTATTTATTTTTTAAGTTGAAGATCTCTATATTTATTTTGATTACCCATTGATTTTTTTTATATAAAATAATTTTAATTATTGCATAACTTATTATTTATATAATTTTGTATTTAATTGTTTAATGCAGTGGTTTTCAACCTGTGCGTCATGGCTCTCAGAGACCTCGTAAATTATTATTATTATTGTTGTTATTATCAAGGAAGCCTAACCTAACCTTTGCAGTTAAAACTAAAAATAAATGTTGTAATATAACCATTATATATTAAAATTATTATTAATAAATAAAATACCAAATGGTTAAATAATTTTATAATATTTAAAATTTCATTAAAAAGTTATGCATCAGAGGTTAAGGTGCAGGTAATATGTATGTAACTGAGAATAAACAATTATGTAAGTTATGTTTATGATAACTATTTCATCAAAAAAAAAAAAAAAAAAAAAAAAATGGACTATATTACATTATAATTTATATATTTTAGCTAAAGGTGATTGATGAATAACTTAGTCAAATGGCTAATGTAAGATTAACTAATATTTAAAACAAGTTGGGGTTAAATAAAATAAAGGTACAAAAAAGAAATAAATAAATAATACAAATATTCCAAGTAAAATTTTAATAATTAATATCAAAAAGCCTCATCAATATATTTTGTACTAACTATAAACAATTTCAATTGGTAATGCCGACTTGTAAAATAATAATGTACTTTTAAAATTATCTAACAGATATAACCGCGACCAAGAAAATACACCTTAAATTAAAATGAAATGTAATAAATAATAAAAATAAAATCAGTCTTATTTTTTTTTTATTATTTCGGATATTTAGTTTTAGTTATGTGAACATTTATTTTAGGATAAAACTTTTACTCATGGCGTTCATAAAATCTTCTTTAGTTACCATTATATTGTCATCAATTGCACATTGTTTGTCTGAAATAAGTTAGAATCCTTAGTAAAACTGTATTCATTTAACTTATATTAGTAAAAAATATATAATTTCAACAACACAAGCATTTGTGTTACAACAAAAAAAATTTACCATTAATATGTATTATTCGTTTTTGAATAACTCTTCTAGCACTATTTAGCCATGCATTGTGACACATCCCGTACAATTCAGCCCCTGTTACTTGGTCAGGTAGATGCTTTATTAAATCTTCTAGATGAAAATCTGAATATAAGTTAAATCTAAAAAGTTTAAAACTTTTAGAACAGTTTTAAAAATAATATACATAAGGTTATAAAATTTATAAGTAATCTGAAATGAAATAAAATTATACAACATATACATAATGTAAATAGTAAATGTTATGTCTTCCATGGACACTGTACACATGTCAATATAAGATAAAAATTAGTATTGTTTAATATATTTAATGCAATTCTACATACTTTTTTGTTAATGCTCTTAATACATGAAGTTTTGATTCTTTATCATTACAACCACCAACATAAATACTTTTATCAAGTCTAAAATAAATATTTATTTTTAATAAGACATAATAAAATTATTGATATTAAATAGATTACCTTCCTGGGCGTAAAAGTGCAGAATCAATAAGATCTGGTCTATTTGTAGCACCCAATACAAATATTTGTTGATTTTCTGATGTCATTCCATCCATTTCGGTCAGCAATTGTGATACAACTCTATAAATGTATATAATATGCAAAAAGAATTGTATTATAGAATAAAAAAAAATCTTTACCTATCTCCAACACCTCCAGAATCTCCATTTTGACCTCGTTTTGGAGCTAACGAATCAAGTTCATCAAAAAACAAAATACAGGGTACAGCTGAACGAGCCTTGTTAAACACTAATAAATATTTTTAAATATTAGTTAAAGTATTTTAATTTCATATAATACACACTTATTATTTTACAAGAGGAATTTTAAATAAAATATACAAGTGCATTGTTAAATATTTACCTTCTCGTACATTAGCTTCACTTTGTCCAATGTACATATTAAGTAATTCAGGGCCTTTAATTGATAAAAAATTGTATTTACATTCAGTTGCAACAGCTTTTGCTAATAATGTTTTTCCAGTTCCAGGTGGGCCATATAATAATATTCCTAAGTACAAAATTAAATTTTTTAAATTCTTTAAAAAAAAAAAAATGTTTGAAATATTAATTATAAACAATTATTAGTTATTACTTCTAAATTAAAAATGAATTAAATTAATCTTATGGTTCAATTAAATTAAATAAACCAATTAAGAGTCATTAAATTGTGTTTAAAAGACGATTAGCATACTATTTATTCATTTAATTTTTAGTAATATACTGTATACATGTTAGTACCAAATACTACTGACATACTGCAGTTGACTATAATGTGCTTTCTTCTTATTTATGGTATATAGAATAGAAATCTCCAATCAAAAAAAAAAAGTATTTCATAATAAAGTCAATTTAATGCAGTACAGCTAGGTTAGGTGATCATATTTCAATGCAGTAAGTTATCAAAATGAACCAATATCATTCTACAATTAATGAAATGTATTACCTGATCTCCTCATATTAAATGCTGAAGGTTTTAATGCAGACATAATTTCTTCTTTTACATTTATTAAACCACCAACATCATCCCATTTAACAACTTGTATTGAAGGTGCTCCAATTGATTTTGTGAACATTAAATTTATTTTGTCTTTAAGGATGAATATTGAAATTAGACACATAGTTTAATATAGATTTTGAAATAACTATTTACAAACCTATTGAAAGCATTATATCAGAATCTTCTAGTATTATATCAGTAGATTTAGTATTATGTACAGCCATATGATTCCTTAAAAAATAAAATACATAAATAAATTAACAAAGGTATACCTATTTATTATAAACATGAAACAGTTTAATTATTAAATTTACTTTGCAGCTAATAGTAGCAGTGTCATATAATTTATGTAATTAAAACTTGAAGTATGATCTATAATTTTTTTGATCATATTGTTATTTAATGCAATAGAATCTCTTCTTAATATCCATTTCAACAGTTGTTCTCGGTTAGTTCTATTTAAATTTCCGACTTGTTGACATTGTAAAAAAAGTCTTAAGAAAACAGGGCTTAGTTCTTCTTTGGAGTTTGCAGTAGCAATAATTATAATAGGATTCTTGGTTTCAACATTTATTTGACTGATAAATATATCCAAAATTTCTTGTTCTAAATCTTTAGTGGAAGATAAACATAAAGCCTGTAATTGAGTAGTACTATTTATTATTTCAAAAATGAAATATTTAAAAAAATATATTTATAGTTACTTCAATATTTTCCAAGTGTAATAAACAGGGTGTCAATTTTCTAATATCGTCAAAAAAGTATTCTATTCTTTTTTTAAACTGAACAATATTGTTTGTAGGCCAGTTAAAACAGCATTGAGATATGTATTGTATTCCAAGATATTTTGACACTGATTCAATTAATAATTCTTTGCCACAACCATTAACTCCATAAACTAAGAAAATTGGTTTCAAAGATTGAAAATCTAAAAAAAAAAAAATTATAAATGTTTTAAAATATAGTAAAATCTTGATTATCCATATTGCAATTTATGTAAATGAACATCAATATGTGTTGTAACTTGTAGCGCTCATAGATTTAATCATGTATCTTTTTTTTTTTATAAAAAAAAAAAAATGAATATACATAATTATAAATACAATGTTTTTTCATGATAATATGTATGTATGTATATAAGGTATATCACATTGATCTGACACATTTAACTATGTTTTTAATGTAAAATTATTTTCATGATACACCATGAAAAGTAATAAAAATATTTCCAGTAACTGAACTTTTGCTTTCTTAAACTAGATTCAGTTCTACAGTTCTAATTATTTCAGATAATTAAGGTTCTACTATATTCTCATTTTTTAAAGTTAATGAAATATTGCTATTTTAAGCATTATAATTGCCTGGTCAGATATATAAGATGATAATAAAATATTAAATTTATTACCTCTATGTCTCTGTTGAATAAATGGTTTGATCATCGACACAATTGATTCTCCTTCATCGTTCATTCCACCCGGAAATATGTTCAGAATGAAATCATTGAAATTATTTATGCTTAAGTTTTTTAGGTTGTTTATTGCAAATTCTTTTTCCGTAGGTAAATATGTGTTGGTGGAATATTCAAATTCATTTAATTTAGTATGTAAACTAGATACATAAAATTTATTTTTGCAGTTGTATAAATGTATTTGCACATTTCTTTCTTCTATGTCAATTATTTGTATGTATAAAACTGAAATACTATTAGGTTCTATTAAATATTCTGCTTCAGGATAAGTCTTTTTTAAATCCAATTTTAATATATCTCCTATTGACACACATTTTGGTAGAGAAAAATAACTGTAAAGTATTTTATCCTGTAGTACTTGTATATCTGCATTAAATACCAAAGGTTTCATAACAGATATTAATACTTTTTGTGTTATTTTTGGCTCAAAGTCTTTCAATGGTTTGATAATTCTCAACATACAAGCTTGATATGTATGATTTTGATTACATAGATTAAATAAATTTATCGAACTTAGAATGCAATCAGATTCTTTGTATGAGGACAACACTACTATTCTGTTATAGTGTGATATGGGTAGCTTTTGGGAACTTGTAGTTTTAACATTAACTAATACCCATTGCATGTTGCTTAATTTAAATTTGCTTAGCGTTTCTTGGCTGACAAATATACAGTTCTGAATTTCTAAATTGTGTTTTAGAATCGTTATATTGTCATAATGATGTGTTACTAGCTTTTCCAATATATTATCAGGAACACATTTAAAATGTATTTCAGATCCAAAAAGAATGTTGATTCTAAGATTATGAAGCATTTTTGACCGTAAAATTTGAGATTTGGATCTGTTAAAACACGACTTCAGTACATAATTTATGAATAAAATGTATTTGAGAAGATATTTCCTTTGAATCGCCATATTTTTATAGTTGTAGTTTTAAAGATTATCTGAAATTGTTATCACTGGATGGCATCAGACGAAAATTGTTTAAGACTCACGCCAGTTAGTTAATTACAAACAATTACATTCTCCCTCGTGCGATTAAAGAAAATAAGAAAATTGAACAAATATAAAATTAAATAATTTTTCACACACTAAAATAAAACAAATAAAAAGATACTTTAATGATAAGAATAAAAACCGAAAATGTATTATCAAACATCAAATCGTACAACGAAATGCCGGTAAACAACATATGTCCCGTCGTTATTTTCCTCACTATTTTTTTAATTTTTTTTAAATATAATTTTCTGCCTCGTAAAATGTTTTGATAACGTTTACGTATCCCTCCCCCCATCATAACCCAACGACTTTATCAGTTGTTAACCCCACTATATTATTTGAACAAACGCAGCCGATTTACAATGAAAACTTTTTGTTGTTGTTTATTTGTTATCAGAGATTACTTATTGAGATAAGCTTGGGGAGTTATTACTTACAAATTATAATTGTTTACACTGTTTACAGACATTCCGTTTTTTTTTTTAATTAAGCACATTATATGATAAAGTTGTGTTTTAATTATAACCAATTCTAAATTCATACTTACGTAAAATGCGATTGAAATATAGTTCCTTTTTCGCGTACTTCAACTGATCGAAATCTGCTGTCAGTGGGAATCGTTAGCGGATTTTGCGTGACTAGTATTAACTCATTTACCCGAAGACGTCGATGTGCTTCGACAGTTTTATCTCATTGACTATATTATTATGTTACCGACGAAGCTCAAGGCGTTAAATGATTGTTCCACTGATGAGAGCAGTAACAATGATGATGAGCCGGTTAAAATTACCAAAGAAGTGCTGGTAGGTGATTTTTAATTAATCATTCAGAAAAATACTTAATAGTCTTATGCTTTAATAATTTTTTTTTTCTATATATTATGTGTTGAACAAAATAAATTAAAGAATCGTGTTTATTTTTTTTAAATTAACCGAAAATTTAAATTAATAATGCTAGTAATATTAATCACCATTTTTGTAAATGAGTTGTGTTTGATTTGTATTTTGAAGTTAATAATTACTTTATTATACCTTCCAAATAATAGAATCATTGTTTTATTTCATTATGTGTCAAGCTTAAGGTTGCCATTTATCAAAAAATACAAGCCTGGACGCTATAATAACCCTCCTCCAAATACATTTGTTGGAATTTTCAATAATATTTTTTTTTAGTCTAACGTTATTTAATATTTGTAAAATACTTATAAATTAAAAAAGTCAGAAATATTAGAAATACAACAAAATGTAATAATATAGTTATTATTTTCTTATGTATAAATATAATTTATAATTCTTAAATTAAAAAGGTTAAATAAAAGGTTTATAAAAAAACTAAGAGTACTTCTTTGACCGCTAATTTTAATAAATCATCATTAGCTTTTTATGGTATAAAAAAAATATTTACTTTGCTAAATGTTAATGCAGCCTTTTATGTTATTTTATGTTTATTATATTTCATATGATAAGTTTTATCAGTTTTCCTACCATGGCTAACCAAAAATGTACTTAATCATATAGCACATTGTACATCAAAATTTTAGTTGGTTTTTACCTTTTTAATAAATGGAAGTTCGTTCTGGAGTTTGTCAGTGAAGCTGCATAATCATCTTGGAACCATAATGTAAATAATATAAATTAAGTATAATAGCATGTAAATAAACATTTGTTATTATAACACAATTGTCATAGTAAGTTATTAAATTTAAATGGGGAAACAACACAAGTGAATGATAAATAGAATGTTTGACTGATAATCATCAATTCTATAAATTGCACACGCTATGCCGTTATGAAACACTAAATTATTAGTCCTCAGCTTCTCAGAAATTTTTTAATAATTCACGAATGATAACAATTCGGGACTAATTTTAAGAAACCGATACATATCCATGTCTTGGCCAGGAGTTGAAAAATATCGGGACTGTATTGTGAAAATTGGTAATGTCTAGCGAAATTGGGACGAATGGCAACCCTAGTCAAGTTAATCAACATACATTTATAAATTGTTGTCATCTAAAACCTATGTAGTTTTTTTTGATTATAAAAATTAAAATGTTTGATTCAAGATTATTCATAGTACCTATACATATTTATACATTCAAGTTATAATACTAATATCAACCTAAGTACTCAGTTTAAATTTAATGTAAAAAAATAAAAAAATAATTATTATTTATAAATTATTTAATTTCAGGAAACAAAAGCAGAATTACAATATAGCCAAGCATTACAGTGTTTAGCTAGAGATCAATTAGATGAGGCAGAGGAACTACTATCAGATTTGTTAGAAAAAGAAATCATTAGTTCTGTATGTTTTAAAAAAATTGTCTATCTTTGAGTTTTAATTAATTTCTTATTACATTTATTTATTATTATTTTTAGCTAAATACTACATTGAATCAAAAAGATAAATCTCAGTCATCTTTAGCTCATTTAAAATATTGTTGCTTCACTAATTTAGGAAATATTTTGTTAAAAAAATCCAACTACCACGAAGCCTTAATTCATTATCAAGAGGTAAATTTCATCAAATTATTTATTTTAAATATAAAAATATTGATTACTTGTATTATTTAGGCTTTAAAAATGGACGATACTGATTTAAATCTATGGTATCGAATAGGCCTTACTCATTGCAAGTTATATCAAACTGATCAAGCAATATCAGCATTTTTGGAGGTAACTAATATTTAATAAAACCACTTTATTACCATCATCTTAATAATGTAGTCATGTACAAGGTATTTCCAAAATATAAGTGGTATAGCACCATTATGTATGTCTTATATTTTTAAGTCACAATTGTATATGTTTGTTAACAAACAACGAATTGTCAAAATTACCCTAAAAATAACGCTGCTTTGTACAATTTTTTGTGCAATGTTCATGTTGTAATGTTTGCATGACTGGTCATACTCTTAACGCGACAAGCAGCGCGTACACATAAGTGAGTTAGTCTTCAAAGGCTTAGGGCATAATAAAGAAAATTGTTTCGGCTGTTTGACCGGTCATGCTCTTAACATTCATGGAATATAGAGTTTAAGTTCCCTCAAAACATGTTATATTAGCGTATTGTAATTAATTGGTTTTAATAATTTATATTTTACTAACATATGAGTATGTCTTACTTAAAAAATCATATAATAAAAAAAATTTTGCAGGGTATTAAATGTAATCCTAATCATTGGCCTACTTTGGATAAATTGATAACTTTATTATATGTAAGCAGCGAATATGTTTGTTGTTTATATTATATAAGTGTATCACTTAATTTAGATTCTGGATATTTAAAAGGACATTTTATCAAAGAAATTATATTCAAAAAATTTCCATCATTAATATCCTATTTTAAAAGTTATTGCTCTAACGGGTAAGTAAAAAATTAGATTAAAATATTTAAATTTGAAAAAATGTATATTTTTAAACAACTTTTGTTTTTGTTTATACTTTCAGTGGTTTAGATATAACATGTACTGATATAATAGATACAAATATACAGCATAAGATATTAGATGAAATTGAAGATATTAAGAAAAATAATCCTGCTTTATGTTTAAAAAAGTCATTTAAAAACACGGAGTGCAAACCTAAATTGTATGCTAAGCATTTAGTGTTCAAAAGTTGGGTACAACTTGGAAAATGGTTACTAACGATTTATGATCATATGTTTGAAAATTATGAACATTCGGTAATTATAGTTAATTTTAAATAGCATAAAACGTAAAAAAAACAATTTATGTTAAATTTGAATAATTTTTCAATATAAAAAATAATAAATAGTTTATATCTACATGAATTGTTTATATATTTTTATTTATTTATTTATATATATTTCAAATTCTTAATCATAATTTTTCAGCTTCTTTATGAACCTATACAATTTAATCATGAATCCTTAACTCTCGACACAACAAAAAACCATATCATAGTAGATGAAAAAATTATTGAAGAAGATTTTGAAAAGCTTTCATTTAAACTTGATGGTAGATATTATAACTCAATGTTTATCTTTTATAATTATATTATTTTGTTAATTTTAATAGTTCCTGTAACGAAACGAAGAAAAAGTTCACCACCACTTGCGGATCATTTGAAGTTAAGTCGACGATCAGCTCGAAATAAAACTAATTCAAAAGTTAATGAGTCAACACTAGTCAAATCAATATGGAATATCATGCCCCAACATTTATTGTAAAATTAATTTTTAAACTAAATAAATTATTATTGATTAATGATTGAATGATTTCATTGGTTTAAGACTTAGCAATGATGGCAGTAATAAATGTAATCCAATAAAATGGTCAGACGATTCCATGGATACAATGGACTTATACAGGTTATATGAATTCTCAGATGCAATGAGTGATGGACTTACTGAAAATTTACTGAAAAATAATATTTCTGAAGAAGAACGTCTTAAGTATGTATAATAAATAAAATACTTAATACAATTTGAAATAATTTTCTTTTTACATTATTACTAGACAAATAAATGATGAAAATTATTTTGGAACCAATCATGAAGCAAAAGATTTAAATAATTTTGTTGAACTTAATAACAAAAAGTCAATTTCTGATTTATTAGAAATTTTTTTAGTTATTATTGCGAATAAATGGACTAATACTTGGCCTATCAACATGATTCAAGTATATATAGATGTTTTTAAAAGAGTATGGTAAGTGAACTAAATCCATTAGATATTTTTTCAATATTTATCTTAGATGTTTCATTTAATTAGGATTCATACAGAAAAACAACATTTAACTTATATTCTTGAATCAAATGTAGATTCTTTAGAGGATAAAAAAATTATACAAGTGAAAGATGAAATTATATCTATTCTTACTTATGGAGAATTATTATGTGATCTTTATTTTCAATTAAAAACTAGTCATAAGCCATTAGAAGGAAGGTATATATTAATAATTTGACATAAATATTAATTTTTATTTATATAGATCATTATTATTAAATCCTCTCGTGTAAATTCATTTTCTAGTATTATTGGAGGAGAGTTCTGTTCTTTATGGATCGGTAGTATAAATGATGCACTCTCAACATTAGATTTAAAAGATAATTATATGGCGATTAATGTTCGTTTTCTACGGCTAAGAGCATTATTTAACTTACAAGATAAAGAAATCAGACTTACATGTGATGTGCTTGAAATGGTAATCTTAAGTTTTTATTTTGCTTATTTAAATTTATTTTTGTAATTATAAATTCCTATTAAGCATGAATATTACAATTTATAGAGTTGGCGCATATTATTATCATAAATTAAAGGACACCTAATAATTTTTTTTTCTACAAATTTTCATTAAAAGTTAATTTATTGAAAAACATAAAATTGCTGTGTATTTAACTTATAAATGTATAAGATGTTTCAAATTTTCTTAATTATTAATCTATTTTAAGATTATTTTATTGGTTTTTAATTTTTTCTTGATGTATATTTTGTACTGAAGATAATAGAAAACCCTAAATAATTATACATAGACGGATCCAACCCGAGATTATAAGGGGGAAAAAATATTAAAAATAACTTTTATACATGTAAATTTTACTATAAAATAGAAAAAGCAAAAAAATAAAAGGTTATCAACTAGCTTACAAGGGAAGAGACGGCCGCCTCCTCTGTAAGTTAGGTTAGTGGTTCTTGTCCGTTTAAAATAGTTTTTTCTATGTTGTACTTGTACATTTGTAAGATGTAGTAAAGGTTAAAGCGTCCCATTGAAAGTTATTTTTGTGTTACAAACTTTGAGTTGTTGCGCTACTATTAGTTAAATTATGTAATTTTTTAATTGTAATAATCTTTTAAAAAAATCGTTGTAAGCTAATATTGACCAATTATTCAAAAATAACTCCAAAACCTGTTAAAGCTACTATATATACATAATATATTATATAAATATAGCTAAGAGTTAATTGTAATCAATATCGCAGGCCTATCATAAATTATATAAATAATAATTTCCATCCTAATGAGTAATTTTTATACCGTGAATTTGTATTTTGTATGCATTTACATATTTATATTGGTTGATAGTATGATATGCTAAGTTTGTACAAAATTTGTTTCGTGTATAACAATTAAAAAATAAAACTTTTTTTAGTGCATATTTTTTCTATTTTAAAGGCTTATTTTACAATTTGAATTGCATATTTCATCTTTTAGTACATATTTTTATGTTTTTTATATGACATTTTTAAATACATACTATTGTCTATTATAATGTAAGTAAGAAAAAAATGTTATATTTTTATAACTTTGATTTATATCAAAATAAATTAATAGGTCAACTTTTAGGTATAACGTATAAACAGTTTTTTCCAAATGTGGCATTAGATTAATCGGGGAAATAAAATATGTATATCAAGGATAGGAAATTATTGATTACAGCCTTGATTGATCATTGACATTATTTCATTATTATTATTGTTGTTCAAAGAATAATTTTTTTTTTTGCTTATTGTTTTATGCATATTTTAACAAATTAGTGCATATTTAAGATTTTTTAGCTCATATTTGGTTGATTTTCAATGCATATAAATTCGCGATCTAGTAATAATTAACAATTAACATGTTTTTATATCTATTAAGATTTATTAACAATATTTAAAAAGAGCATGAAAAATAAGTGCTGGTCTTCGTTTGACGCAAACTTGTGTGATACCATCGTCTATCATACAGTTATTCTTAGAATGTTTAATCAGTATTTAAACATTATATAGATTAAAACAAATTAATGACTGAAGTAGTATAGTATGTAATATACTAATACCCATTACTTTTTTATTATTTTGATATGCAGACTGAGCAATGCCACTTTGTAATATTAATTTATTATTATTAATTGTTATTAATTTATTAGTATCAGTATTTTATTGTGTTCAGTATTTTAAATGATCATAGATTTCATTTAATTCTTTCTTATTGAAAATACTCCCTAGTTTACGTTTATAATGGGGTTTTTCTTTAAATTTTAGTGTTCCAATGTTAAACATCACCCCGTCTTATTTGTTGCGACACTGATCATATTTTATGTATATTATATTTGATCTATTACTATAAATCTTTATTTCATAATCTTTTTTAAATATTTTTGAATTTAAAATTTTTAGGTATGTTACGCTAAATTTATGAAATTGCCGATTACACGTTATTTATTACTACAATTAGATTTTATTATATTTTCAGTATTTTATGTAATATTATAAATTTAACACATTCATTTATATTGAATTATTTTTACAACTTTTAAAAAAATGGTTTTGCCGATTCACGTAATTGGCAATTTCACGAATTCGGCGTAACATAGGTATACTCGTACATTTAAAATATTGAATACATCATTTAATTAATATTTTTAAACATAATTTAAAATTTTAAAATAATAAATTAATCAATTTTAGTTATTGAATTTTATTTGCGATCTGGATGATTATGAAATTGTTTTGCCAAATTTAGAATATTTTTACCGAATAAATAAAAGGATAGCAGATAAACTTATTATCACATTAAAAAGGTTTGTTATTAATATATTTCTGTAAAAATATATATTTTAAAATTTAAATATTTATTTCTAGGAATAATTTATTAAGCACTGTAAAAGACCTGTACGAATCCAAAAAATATCTAAGTGTTGTAAATATTTTAAAAGATACCTTAAAACCTCAATCTGCTTTCATGGAGATACCCAATTATCAAACTATGACACGAATGAATCAATACATATTTATGTTAAAATCATTTTTAGAGTTGAAAGATTATCACGTAAGAATATATAAATTAATTTTAATGTTTTATTTTAAAATTATTATTATTATTAAAGGAATTATTTAAATGGTGTGAACCGTGCTTGTATGAAGCTATTCTACAACATCGCAAAAGTCTTATAGAAGATAGTGATCCAAACCAAAAGACTAATCAGGCTGAATTTATAAACAATATATTATATGCTATGTTAGAATCAATCAAAATAGAGGGCTTAGATGTTTGTAAGTAGTAAAATTGCAACAAGTAAAGTATTTTATTTTTAACTTAATATTTTATTAGTTGATAATATATCACAAGGATCTAAATCAAAACTTATACAATCGGTCATAAATCTTCTATCATATCTGATAGAATCTTCTGATGGAAATCCAGAAATCGATGCTGTATCTCCGTGGTTGTTAATTTATCATTTATTAAAATAGTGAGTTTTTCTTTCTTAATTAATTGAAATTATTTAAAAATAATTGTATGTTAAAATTTGTTTTAAGTAAATTAAATTGTTTCTTTTATGATTATCATGATATTTTAAAGTCAGATATGTCTATGATTTTATTAAGGTGATTAATGTTTTTGAAGTAGTTTATTATTTATTATAATAAATCTTAAAATAAATTGTCTAGTATTTTATTTATTTTGATTAATTATTTAAATTTTAAATTATATTTGGTTTAAATAACTTTAAAATGAATACTTGTCTATTTCATTACATTGTATTAGTAAGTATTTTAACCAGTACATATAGGACTAATTTTTTAATAACCATTTGTATTTCCAGTGAGGAATCTAAAACTGACAATTCGTTTTCTTCTCAAACAACTAATATTCCACAGTCTTTATCATTACTTTTCCTCGGTCATAAATATTTAGGAAAGTAAGTATTAAATTGATATGTCTACCAATAAAATTTAATTTAATTTGTATATATTTAAACTTGTGCAGTAAATGTTGGTGTTATTATGAAGACGGTGTTCTTCTATTTCTAACATTATCTGAAATAGAACAATTTATTCATACAGATTTGTATAGCACATCACTAGTGCAACAAGTTGATCAAATTTTTTATTGTTTATATACACATTTAATCAAACGTAATAAACCACGCCATGTACAGGTATTAAAAAATAATATTATTTTGTAAATTAATTTTGTTTTCATAATAATAATTGTTATTTTTATTTATATAGGATCACAAATCTATGGGATTAGCACTAACATGGCCACGAGCTAGACAATTAATGCATTTTTATCAACCGCAAGAATTACCTAGTTATGATGGAATATCAAAAGTATTTACTATTAATTCTGATACAGAAGCTATGCTTCAAAAAGTCATAGCTTTAATACCAGAAGAAATCAATCCAAGTAAAGTTAATTAAAATGTGTTTAAAGAATACATTTTTATAATTAGATTAATTAGATTAATTTATATTAATATTTCAGACCGATTAATGGATAATTTATTGATGTATATCAAAGGGGAAACAGACCAGTTGCCTAAAAATGATAATCCTTTACCTAATGATGTGAAAGATATTTTTTATTTAATGGCTGATTTTAATTTCAAAAACAAAACTTGGGTAAATTCTTAATTAAATTTTAACCATATTAATAAAATCATAGTGAATAATCTATAACTGTTTCAGAATAAAGCTATTCGATATTACTTATTGGATCTTTGCAATAACTTAGATCGTTTTGATTCTTGGGCTGCCATGGCTTTAGCTAGAGGGAGTCAAATAGAAACAAAATTAAATTCAGTAAGTTGACATTTATTTATATTTATTTGAACTATATATTTTATCATGAAAATATTTTAAAATTTGTTAAATAAATAGTCTATTTGCATTGATATAAATTATGTATTAATAAATGAAAGTTGTGATTACTAATAGAATATTATAGAAGTAAGAATGGTATAAAAATTATAGACTCAAATTGTATATTTTAGTTTATTAAAAATTTTCTTCAATAATTTTAAAAAAGTTTTTATTAAAAACTATTTTTTTCAGTGTGAATCAATTAAGAATGAAGGTCAAATAATTAGAAAAGCTCATATGACTGGTCGATGTTATAAGCATTCTCTAAAAATGAGTCCCGAAAATACAACCCTTCTCATTGAATATGGAACATTCACTTACAGCATACATTCTTTTTGTTCACGTTTATTGAAACAGGTGTGTATTTAAATTATTTATAATTTTTGGTACTTATAACTGATTAAATCACATTGCTTTATTTATTTGATGGCAATGTTTACAAGTTGCGTGTGATACAATAATGTGTTCATTGTTAATTGGTTAATGTCAAATTAGTGTCTAGTAAACTAAGAATAATAATTAGTTACCGACCTTTAATTTTAGTTTTTTATTTTTTAAGTCAACTATTTTCTTGTCAAATTTATAGTATATAATACTAATATATTACTGATAAATTAAAATTGGTGATACAAAATAACAAATTACATTAGGATTTATCATGTATTTTGCTAAAAATATATAAAAAAATAAAAATTCTTTATTAAAAAAATGCTCAAAAATTTAGCAATTTAGAGTAAAAAATGAATACTAACATTTTTCCTATAATTTCTATAATTAAGTTGAGTTGGTGATAACACTTTTAGTCCACTTCAATTGAGATAAGTGATGACTCCTTACATCATCATGATAACCTTGCTTTTTGTATAGTAAATAATTATAATATACATCATATTATTGAATTATTTATTTTCTTCTTAATAATTAATATAATTATTTATTATTTGTTTACTATTATATTCTTATTCCATTCTGTGAAACTATTTAAATGGTTAGAAAATTTTTTTAAATTCTTGGAAGATTTTATTTTATTTTATGTATAATTTATGTAACATATTTTTAAAAATATAAAAGTAAATTGTAATTTTAAGTATAATTTATTTATTATTACTCTTACACATATTTTTACAGGAAACGTCTAATATGAGTTTACAAATGTTTGGAGAGCTTGAAGATGAAAAAGAAAAAATGATCAAAATGGCTAGAAAATGTTTTGAAACTGCTAACAATGTAAATTTTTACTAAGATATTTATATTTATATTTATATTTTTTAATCTAAATTATGTTATCAATTAACATTAGGTTTGGGAATACACTGATTGCGATTCCCAGGATGAACGTTGGATGCATCATTATATACTTGGAAAAATAACTGAGAAAAATGATGATAACTCAACAGTATTTATGGATCATTACTTAAAAGCTGCTCAGTATTTAGATTCCTATGGGGCTATTTTTCCAGAACATATTATTTATAGTTCTCCTCAATATTATTCAATTGAAGTACTTGAGGTAAAAATATATTTAAACTTTTAAGTAACAAAATTAAGTGACTAACCTATTAAATCATTTTAAACATTTTTTTTTTTTTTTTAAAGCCTTTTGGTTTGTTTAATTATTTACTGTTTAATTTTTTAATTTTTTTTTTTTTTTTAATTTTCTTCTACTGTGGGAGTACCGCCTTAGTAGAAGGGGTTTGACTCAGGCAATTATCCGTCGGTCCCTGGCCGCGGCGGTCACTCAATATGGCGCCTGAGGTGAGGCGGCGCCCCGGGAGGGTCTCCCGGATAGACATCCGAGTTTCTTGCCCGGAAGAGATAACCTCATGGTTACATATAGGGGTCGAGTGTCTCCGGGGTAACTCGGAAGAACTGGTCGGACAACCCTTTAACACACGGAAGATGTTTAATTTTAGTAAAATATTATTAAATTTAATTAAAAATATAATTTTTGAAAATGGTAGAGGGGGGTGTCATTTTTGTATTAAAAATGTTTAACTTATATACTATGTCACACACTACATCCCTAGACGTGTGCAGACTTCAATTTTCGGTCGATTCTGGAACAATTAATGCCCCAATATTTGGACAGTGACCTTAATTTTTTTTTAAATATTAATATACTGTAGAAACTTGTTTAACCGTCAGTGTCGAAACCGGGACAATGACAATTAATAGAATAAATGGTTAACTGAAATTTTTCAAAAAATAATATGTAATAAATAATAAATACTTATGATATATATTTATATTGTGTAATTTTTTGAGGCACGTAGTTTTTGACTGAACATGTATCATATTTTATGAAATAAGATCTGCGTTGCATTTGCCTCCTCTTGCACTTCAAACCAATTAATGCATTTTGATTGCATTGCTTCTGTTTCTGAGTGGCTAGTTGGGGTCTCTAAGATCGTTTTTGGCGGATAACAGAGCGTGACGGTAAATCGAGTGATGGTTAAACGAGTTTCTACTGTACATTCTAATTTTAAATTAAAATTGTGTCAATAGAATCAAGTTATATGTGCACACAACATTAAAGTATTGATTTCTATACATATATTTTTGAAGTTAAAAATTAAATATTATAAATACAATTATGTGTATAAAAAGAAAAAAAGCAGAATACCCAAAATTTGAAAAAAATCTTGATTTATTGAACAATAAATTGTACATACATAATATTATCTATACTATTATATAAAGAGGTAAAGTTTGTGAGATTGTAAAGGATAATCTCTGGATCTACTGACCTATTTTGAAAATTCTTTAACAGAAAGTCAAATTATTTGTAAGTGTCATAGACATAAATTTATTCCGATAAAGTTAGTAAATAATTAATAATTAAAATAAATGTGTAAATTGTATACCTATATGCAGCGTGGCTGCCGGTGGTTTCTAGCTATCTGCGATCTGACCATTTTATCCGTCAAATTATGTTTGACAAGCTGAATAACCCGGCTTCGCCCGTGTACAGTTTTTTTGTGTAACCTACTATAACTTTTATTTTATCAGTTTTTATATTTATTACAGGCTGCTTTTAGATAAGTTTATCCTAGATTTCCCATGTATTGTAACAATTAGAAGTCAGCAAAAATTACTTTATTTTAATATTTTGAAGACAAATTGTAAGATACAATTCTAATCGACGAAATGTTGAAATAAAATATACCCAAAAAATTATAACTTTCTGTAATTGAAAAAAATGTTTTACGTATTATTATAAATATTATTACTATTATTAGTATTATTCTTATTATTACTATTTTTACTTCTTATTATTATTGTAACATTATTATATACATTATGGTGTTATAAAAACCCATCAATATTTATATTGACATATTTGTTCATCTCAATACCTTTTTATAAACAGTATTTTTGGTACTGCCTACCTCCACTACTACTCCTGTTGGAAAAGCCTGTATGCGTCGTCGATTATGGCAAGCGTTATAATAGAATCATAAATGACACATGCCACCGTGTTATTTTAAAATCGAAATTCATAATATATAATGTGTTATCGATAAGTGTTGAGTATCCGAGACTTATCTATATATTATCTGCTCGTCGTTCGGTTTATTTTCGGTTCGGTATTAAGCAGGTCGATGGCGCCGTGGTGTGTGGTGTCGGCGGTGGTGACATGGAAAGGGAAATTTGGGCGGCCACGTCTAGCCACCGCGCGTCGACGGCTGCCGTACCGCGAACCTCACCCACCGGTAATTAAAAATTAACTATTTTACGCTCTTTTTACCTTTTAAAATGCGAATTTCGAAAAATCCTTTCTTAGTGCGCCTTTACATAGTAATAAGTACATTTACTGAAAATTTCATATCCATAGCTTCAGCAGTTCCGGCTAGGCGATGATGAATCACCCAGGACAAGTCTCTTTATATATACAGAAAGTCTTTTTATATATACAGACAAGTCTTTTTATATATACAGATATCTGTGTGTAGATATCAGTTGTTCTGAGAAATTTATCGATAATAATGAAAATCTTTGTCACTTATCCGATTATTTTCATTTTTTTTGTAATGTAAAAAAATTATGAACTAAATTAGAGGTTTAATTTCAATTCTTTAAGTTAATTGAGTAATTATTTCTTTATAAATGTTCATTTTTCGATATCGTACGACTCGGCGCGTAAAAATAACAAACGTTGAGACGTATTATGTCCGATTACAATAAAACTTTAAGAAGTTGTACGAAAACCGAGATTCATCAATAAAAATCCGTATTTTGTATTAATTGAACGTTTTTTCACCGATAAAGTCAGATTATACCAGCTAACAAACTTGATATATATTTGAGTTAGAAATTAAAAACTTACGTACTCATCTCGCGGGGTCCACAATCCACCAAAGATGGATTGCCTGTTTGATAATGTACTACTCGTATAATCATAAGTGAGTCTCTCGGGCAACGTCGAGTGGAATGACTTAAATAATATAATATAAATTATAATCCAATGTATCCTGACTGACACTGATGATGAACGTAGAGCCTGAACAATCAGCTCAAAAGTTGCAGTTTTCATTATACCTTCGTGGCTTCGTTCCACCAAGTTAATGTGCAATAAAAAAGCATTTTAAAGTGATGTGTTTGAACACATTTTTTGAGATTCAAGATTGTTAATAAAAATGTTCAAGTTTTGAACACAATATTATTACACTGAATATTAATAATCACAAATTAAACTAAGTTTTGATCGTATTATAATATAGAGTTGGCATTTTTAACAGACAACGAAGTGCACGGGATCAGCTAGTATTCTATAAATGTAATTAAAGATTATAAATGAATTCTTCTATTTCTCATGCTTTTGAATTCGTCTATGACCATGTCAATATTAAAACGTGTTAGTTTTGGTTCAGTAAACATTAATAATAAACTATTTAGTCGGTCTTGATGTATAGCACTTCTTAATTTATTTTTACTATTGTTAATTTTAAAAATATCCTTCGCAAGAACAACTTGTAATTGATATTAAACTGAATAATTTGAGTTCAGTGAAAAATACATTAAATAATTTTATGTAATTATTTAGATCATAATTATTTATGATCTAGCCATGAATGTATTGATTCATTATTAGTACTATTATCTGGTTGAAATTTTATTATGCCCTTAAAAAGATTATGCTCGATTGCTCGCCCCGTGCGTACGCCTATGACTACACCACTCGTTCGCTTGTAAATGTATAAAAATGTACATTCATAAACTATTAATATTAATGAAATAAATAATAAAATATTTCAACTATCTACTTATAAATATCTTTATAGTATTTTTAATAACACTGAGAAATAATTTTTAATTCCAGATTTATTATAGAATCCATGCTGGAGCATTAAAGTTATTAGAAAAGCATGATAATCAATCATCAAATGAAGAATTATTTGCAAAAATTAAAATAGCATTAGATCAAATATCTAATATGTCTCCTATTATTGATAAGTAAGCATATTATTTTTTAACAAAAAATCTGTTTATTTAATTTATCTGTTTAATATTTATAGAAAACCCAGTAATGTGCCCACCTCAGAATTAGTAAATTATAAGGATATAATAAAAAAGGTATGTTATAACTTATTAAATGTATACATAGTTGTAAAATTAAATTATTTATATTTATGTATCAATTTGTTTAAGACTTTTTGTTTACTAAATATTTTATCATTTCTTTTTTTTTCTAATGTTAATGAATTGATATATTTCATGTTACTAATATGTTTTTTATTTAGATAATTTAATTTAAGATACATCAAATTGAGTCCATTTGTTATATAAAAACAAATATATATTTATTCACAAATATTTTGATCTAATGCTTGAGTATGAAATTTCTAATTATTATTTTTGTAGGATATAAACTTGACAGTAAATCAAACTTTAAACAACATCATAAATCATGTTTTAACGCCTGAAAAAGAAGCCGATAATTCCAAAGTTAGTTTTCAAAGAGAATACATTACCAAAAATGCTAACTTAAGTGTTAGATATATTGCGGATAAAATGTTCAATGTATAATTATTTTTAATTTTTTTTTTAAGGATAATTTAAATGTGCCCTCGAAAAAAATAAAATTGGATTCGTCTATTCAAGATTCAATCAACTGTATGTAATACACAATTCTATATTTATTTATTGTAATAATTTATTGTAATTGTATTTCTCTAGTTCGGTGGACATTAATTCAAAGGTGCCTTCAAGCTTTAGAAGATTGTTTAAAAAGATTTCCTCAACATTACAAGTCATATTATCGATTGGCTCATTTCTATTTCCGTTCGCCATCTCATAAAGATTTTGATAAATTTAAAGATTTAATGTTTGGAGAACAAGGATTATTTGTTGGTCAAAGGCCTAATAACTTTTTCAATGTAATTTAATGATTTTTTTAGATGTAGATAATTATACTTATGTAGTTCTAATTTAGGGTGTTTGGAGAATACCAGTTAGTGAAATAGATCGTCCTGGTTCGTTTGCATACCACATGAATCGCTGTATACATCTTTTATTAGATTTTCTTAAAGAAACAGGTGACCACAAAATGCTACTTGATTTGGCTATACAGTTAAAATACACACCCGATCTTGAAAAGTATGTTATAAAAATATGATTATTAATACAAACACTTTTGTTGAAATTAACAATTTTAAATGATTAGAATATTGTAAGTAATAATTAAATTATGAATTTTAGGAAATATTTACGTGATAATGAACGAGAAGGTATTTCAAAAGAGGCATTTTTCCTTAGTGTTCAAATATTAAGTAGACTGAAATCAGAATATGCTATAACTAATAATCGTTGTGAAAATGAACATCTTTTAATTCAAGTTTACCAATATTATAAGCGTGTATCCCGTATAGCCTGTTGGCAACAAAAAGATAACACACTATCTAAGTTATTATTGAATGTCTATCAAAACATTGTTGGAACAAAAGTAAGATTATTTTTATCCTAAAAAATCAATTATTAATGACTATTACTGATGCTAAATAATAAACATTAAATTACAACTCTAATAAGAACATACATTTGAAGGATTACCATTCCTTCAAAAATAGTTATAATCAGAAGCTTTAGAGTAAGAATAGTTGTGAAACATGATTTAGTGTTGATCCCTTTTACCTATTATCTTTAGCAATGGACAAATTTAAAAATATAAACAGGGTTTAGGTGACATGATGTCATAGGCTTAACTAGGGGGGGACTTGAGGTACAACATAAATTTTAGCCCCTCCTGCCATAATTCCTAGTCCCACACTCCTGTCAATAATAGTAACATTTTTAAACTTAAATTTAAAATATCGTTTTATTTTTTTTATTAATATCTTGGAAAAATATTAATTTAAACTATATTATTGTATGTAATGATCCTGTGTAAGACGTATCATGTTGTGTAATTTTTACAACACAAATACTCCCCTATTAAGAAGTTGTCAATAAACTAAAAATCGTTAAATTCTTTATATATAAAATAATACTTAATAATATGTTAATATATAAATATTTAACCTCAATACCTCTTGGTTTATTATTTGTTTTATAATTAAATATTATTTTATATTCATATTATATGTATAATCAATGAATGTAAGGTGTTTGAAGGGTATGGGGGACAGAGCCTCCCACTTAATTTACTTATAATAAAAATTCTAGGGCTGAAGCTCCCCCCCCCTAACTTTAAGGTCTAGTTACACCTATGCATGATGTACAATGTTTGCATATGAAGTTTTGTTAGTAGTTAAAAGCCTAAAGAAAGTCCACAAGACACTAGAAGAATGAAAAAAAAAATAATTAAAGGTAAAGTACTAAAGATAAAATAAAAGTAAAACAGAGGCAATTTTGTATAATTTTGGATAAAATAATTCATAACACATTAAATGTGGTAAGGTATGTAATGAAAATGGGAAATTATGAAATGTATGAGTTAATAAATTCAAGTTCTTAGGATTAGTAGTACCATAAAATAGTATTTTTGAGGATTACGTCACGTATAAAATATGCGGATAAATAAAATAGAAAGATGAGTCAAATATATTAAGTGATGAGAAATTAAAATGTAGATTTTATTAAATAGTTGTATAACAAATAATATTGTATAAATTGGTATATCAGATAGCAGACAATAAAACATTAAATAGAAAATTTAGAAATACAGTATTTGTGTTGATAATAAGAATAATTTTATATTAGATAAATTAAATGTTTTTTGTCTTAATATTTTAGGAAGATGTATCTATTGACATCATCATTAAGTATTGTCAAAAACTTCAAACAAAAGAGAAAAAAATTGAGTACAAAAGCAATATTGCAAATAATGAAAATGTAAGTATATAGATAATAATCCATAAAAAAACTGAACAAACCAAAAACAAATACTTAATATTTTTGATAGAAATATTTAATTCATAATACTAGTGTATTTGTAATTTAATTTTATGGCATATTTATGTATATAGGTTTAAAATTTTAGTATGAGATTATTCTTTTGCTTTTCATTTTATTAAATTGTAAGCAATGGGATATTTGAGGTTTGAGTGCCATGAACTGCAAGCACTAACTAAAGAATAGTTCATATAGTAGGGGAAGTAATTTGCAAGATACTTCCACAGTGCAACTCCTATTACCTAAAAATGATAAAGTAATTTCTTCTCTTCGTTTAAACACGTCACTTATGGTTTCACTTTCAATATTTTAGAAAGTACTGTCTCATAATTAGTTTAATGAAACCATTTAGCATAGGCACTATGAGGAACGGGGCAGTTCCTACTACACTCCAAAAATGTATTAAGGTTGTGTAAGTACATAGCTACAATTATTGCCCCCTTCTCGTGTTACTCTCTGGATTATACTAAATGGCCTTATTAAACTAATTTTAAATAACGCCACCCAAAATTTCGAACATTAAACTTTTTTTTTAGAAGATATTTACAATCTATTTTTGGCTAGAACAGTAACCAAATGTAACAATGAGTTATTATACGTGAATATTTTGAGGGAAGAAGCCACTCATTAGTGACATTACTTATTTTGAGTTTTTTTTTTAGTTCATTAAGCTAAACTAGCTTAAATTTCACTTAGAAGGTCGTGAATCTTTGCTTAAGCCCTCTTGTGAAGTTACCTGGAATGGATAAGGTAGATAAATTTTCATTAGAGGATTAGAATGAAGAGATAGTTTGGTATGAAATCTTTTGTAGAAACATTTTGCTTCTTCGAGTATTTGTGTTATTTTTAGGCCATTATAAAGGATAAGATTAGAAACAAAAGAAAAGTGGCATTTATTATTTTTCTTAGGGAAATGTTTTGAAAAGTTTAAATTCTTTGTATGTTTGATTTTTTTTGCGCTACCCCAAAGGAACATTAAACTAGTAGGCAAAAAAAAAAGACAATTATTTTCAGGTGAAAAGAGGAAGATCATTTTTGCTCAAAAGATTACCTCCAAATTTTGAATAATACCCAGTTAACTGAAAAAATTATAAATTTCTCAGCAATTTTGTTGCGTAGTAAAAACAATATGTGATTAAATATAAAATTAAGTAGTAGTAATATTTGGTATAATTATGAAATAGAAAGTTAGGATAAATGTAGTGTATGATATGAATAAAATATATAATTTAATCATTTTTAAGTATTACTTTTTAACTTAATTAACATTAAATTACATTTAACATATTTTTGATATTTAAAATTAAGAAAATTAAAAAAAAAAAAAAATCGAATTTTTGAAGTTATTCTAGGTGAACCTTTGAAGATTTGTTATTTAGTATTATACCTATCAGTGATATAATAATTCAATAATAACTAGGCATTGTAGTTCAGATTTTAATAACATTTGTATATTCAAAAATACAGATACAATATTAAAAACCGAATTGCTACTTATAAAGATGACTACTAAAATCTACTACTAAAGAGGGGGGCATCTAATCGACCTCTAGACGAGGTTAACTATAATTATATGACTTAGGAGGTAGAAAAGTATTAAAATGTAAATCTGTAATTTAAATAATTAAGTTTTCGTATAAAATGCATCATCCAAAGTGGGAGGGAGTACGGCCCCATTACTCCCTTATGGGCTCACTATAATATTCTCATGTTTTTTATGGTTAAATAATTTTGAAAATCTCTTCTGAGGTCACTTTTATCAATGCCTATAATTTTAAAAACGTCACGTAAACTTAGAAATAAAATCCCGTTTAACAACACTTTTCTAAATAAACGTGAATTAATTTTTGTTTGTTAATTCTCAAAATGGTTTTTAACTACAACATAATGTCTTTTTTAGGATCTTACATCACCAATTCCCAATTCTAAATCTACCAGTACATTGAATTCGTCGCAAGCTCTATCGACTCAGATGTCACTTGAAAACCAAAAACGACTTTATTCTCCACAAGTCTCACACGCGCTTCCATTGAATACACAGTTATCTAATCAAATAATGTCTAGGTTCGCTCCTTATACACAATCTCCATTGATGTTCCCAATGACCCAAGAGACAAGTTATAACTATACATTGCAGCAAAAGTTGCAAGCAACAAAACAGATACTAAAAAGAAACAATAGTAAACCAAAAGCAGAAAAACGGTCAGCTAGTTCTAAAACTGACAAATTAGATACTAATCGACTGTCAAGTGGAAAACAAAAAAAAAATATTAATCTTAAAATTAATATTGATTCGAAAATTATACGAAATTCTAAGTTATCTATCAATAAACCCACTAAACGGTCAAAAACTAATCGTTTGGAACTAAGTAAACCCTTAAATATTTCACATAACACACCAAACGAATTAAAATCATCGCATAATTTGGATTCGATTTCAGAAATCAACACACCACCTAATAGCATGGGTCAGTCACAAAAGCAAAAACCTAACATTTCATCTTCTGATATACTAAAGAATGTCAAACATCCAATGATCTCCACACTTTTAGCTATGGACAAGTCAAAACCAACTTTAAAGACCAAGACAACAAGCTCGCGTAATCCAAAATCAGTTTACATAGACCTGGATTCTGCTACCGAACAGGCTCGTTTAAAGTCTACAATTTTCCAGAATAAAAGTCCTGAAGTGAAGAAGACAGCTATTGTCCCATTGAGTCCAGCCATGTTGTTATCATCTTGCCCGGGTTTAAGCATAACACCAGTTGTAAACACAAATGATAACCGCAAAGCAAATGAAACGTCATTGGCATCATGTCATGTTCAAAATATTACGAAAACTACCAAGAATTTTAATTTTGAACAGCTTCAGCATCTTAGTAATAGTTTGACAATTACAAAATCTGAAAAAAATGTCAATAAAAAATCCAAACCTGAATTGATCCTAATTGATTAGTTATAAATAATGTAAAAATTAATGCATGTTTTTATGCGTAATAAAAATACTAATCAATGAGTATTAACTATACTGTATAAAATTATTTATTTTGTATCATAAGTAATAGTAAATTTAAAATATTTTTGTCATTTATCTTAATGTAATGGTCGTATTAATTACTAATTTATTTTTGTTGATTGATTTCTTTCATTATAATATAATTCATTTTTAAATTGCATTGAAAACCAATAAATTAAATATTTTTTTAAAAATCGTTGTTTTAAGAAAATCTTACTTATATCTACTTTGATTAAGGGGGCTGCAGCAGGTCGAAAAAAACATGTAAAACAACCAAAAGGCCAGATAAAAGTTTGAAGCTTGTTTTGATGGATTTTAATTTTAAAAACAGATATGAATTTGTATTCTATTTTTCTAGGTTTCGATCGAAGCGATTTTTGATATTTGAAAAATTGAGCATGTACTTAAGTCTCAAAATAAAAGAAATGTATAGTTCTTTAAATTATTAATATTTTAATAACTAATTTAAATATCTAAAATTGCTTCGATCAAAACCTAAAAGATTAGATGACAAATTCAAATTGGTTTTCAAAAATAAAATGCATCAACCACATGTCTTGTAATTTTGTCTGGCTTATTGGTCTTTTAGATACTTAAAAAGCGTTGTGTCAATTTTAATCACTCCGAATTTTGACATTTTCCTGCGCGTGCGAGAATATGTTATTGCTATTCTTCTAGGCAAGACTTAATCCCATGAAACCATTCGATATCAAAAATTAATCTTATTATACCTTTTTACACGTACCGCCAGTAACACGGTGAATTTAATATTTATTAATTATAACTATATAATGTTATGTATAATCATTAATCATGTATTATAATTTATAATATTGGGGATATATTATATTGACTAGGTAATAAAGATATATGATTATTATTATTCAACTGCAATGATAATAATATTATTTTTGTATCGTTGTCATTCGATAACCAAGGGTACTCGGGTACTAACAGTGCGATCTAAAATTCTTATTATTTAAATATTACGTACCCTACTACAATTGAACACAAAAAAGACAGGCGTCATGGCAATAAAAAAAGATCTTTTTAACAAAAAAAAAAAAAACTGGGAATATTAATGCCATATTTACGTCCAGGATAAAAAAGTAAGTATATTTTATTTATTTCTAAATAATTCAATAAAATACTAATATATAGAGTAGATTGTAGTAATGAGAGTTGATATTCTTATAATTGACTTGGTATTTATACTTGGATTGCATAATTTTTTTCGAATATCTCTAACCTATAATTTATAATATTATGTAATAATTATATTTATACAGATATACTATAATAAAAAATAGTAAAATGGTAAAATTATCTACTATTTACTACGATATTTATGACCCGCATAATTTGTTCATTGTTTACGATGTTGTGGCGACGATGGATGGTTTCTAGAAAATACTGATCGAAATAATTCCAGATTAGATTCACACACACTTATGTTCGTTTACATTGCACACACTTACAAGTCACTTAAATGTCTTCATGTTATATTGCCTATATTAATTTCCTTAAAACATGACCGACTGCAGCTCCCTTAAGGCTGTTGAAAGTAGACCGTTTTTAAGGAGTTGAATATAGGCAATATTCTATATCATTAGGGAATGACTGTACGAGTGTGTAAGTGATAATTGATCCCGAACATTTAATTATTACGTTTTATCAATAAACCAGTTTACTAATAATTTTATTTTCGCTACTACGCACATTGTATTACCAAAATAAGTAACATAGTATAAGTTCAAAATTATATATTTAATCTACACATAATTATCTTATTATAAACACTTATTGTATAAATGATAATTTATTAGTAGGTATATAATAATAATACAATTACCATAAATAATAATAATGCATATTATGTATATTATATTGGTACATAAATATACATTAATTAAGGCTTTTATTTCTAGTATACCAGCCACCGGGCCTAATTGGTAGTCTTCAATCAAATCTTGGGTCAATTAATTCAGGCAATAAAAATTTTGTAACTAATGGCTCAATTTTTGAAGTCCAAAATTTGATATCTTTATATATTTTGTCTACTATAAAACCTAAAAAAACATGTTTAAATTCGAACGTATTATAATATTTTAGATTTTACATATACAATTGTCATAATAGAATATTACCTTTCGGCAAAGGTGGGCAAGTTAATGAAAATATTTAACTCAAGCTTAGTAAGTTAAAAGACCACAAGATTGATAAGTTAAAAATTAACCATTAACAAATTATAGATTTAACTCGATAAGTTAACATTTAATAAAAAAAAAAATACTAACTTAACTCAGTTTAAAAAAAGTTAATCTATTCTTTTTATTTAATAAGTATATGTTAATATGTAAATCACATGAAGAATGATTACCTATATCTTTTTAATTTACTAAATTATAAAACACAATTTTATTTTATTTTTATCATAATGCACACTGTACAGTGTAAATACCTTTTTATGTTGCATGATATATTATTTATTTATTTAAACTATACACATCTCAAATTAATAATTTAACAAATATTATTTTTTTATAGAATATAGCGATTGAAGGTCATAAAATATTAAAACAATACAATTTATAATTCATAATTTTATTAAAAAAATCAACTGCAATAAGCTAAGTTATGTCAACTGTCAATTAAACTACTTAAGTTTATAAGTTGATTGGAAAATAAACTAACTGGTTAAGTTAAAAAGTTTAAAAAAAATTACCTTTTTGACTTAGCTTTGACTTTTTAACTAATTAATGCCCACCTTTGCCTTTCGAAGTCTACACAATAAAATAACAGTAGTTCCTTTCTGTTTTGTTTAGCTGTGCTTGAACTTGGTAATAACAATTATCAGTTTTAATTAATGTAATTTTTTCACCATCGCATTTCATAAACTTTATTTTTTTTATTATTTATTGCCTCTTCTGGAGTATATTCCTTTACGCTTGAAGAACATTTTATCTCTAAGATACCGTCTTTACCTATCAACCCGTCAGGACTCGCTGTTAGATATGGTTTATTCTTATGAATAAACAATCCTGCTGGTTCGATTTTTCTCCTCTAAAATTTTTTGAAACACATTTCGGGCTACTAATTCGTTTTCAATACCATACCTTAGTAGAAATAATAATATATACAAGTAAACAATAAACTATTGTAAAATAAATAAAATATAAATATAGGTACTACAAATCTAGTAGGAAGAACTTCCTTGGAAAATATCATATAAAATATATTTTATGGTATTTGATCGCGAAGTGGTGGGTCTTAGTTTACACATTTTTCCAAAATTAGATGCCGTGAGTCGCTGTTTTCTAAATTTTTTCCAATTGTCATTTTCTTATTGTCCTATGGTATTTCTTTCTATTTCGACTATTTCATCAGCGGTTAAATATATATTTTATAAAAATGCAATTTTTTTGGCATTGTATTCTTCGGGTGACATATTAATTATACCTATTCCTATGTCTACAGCTCCATAATTGTCATCTGGTCCAGCAATACATCTTTGTTTTTCTCAAATTTTCTATTAATTTAAATAACGATACATTTTTAAAAATTAATTTTAGAAGTACTGATGTACCTGCTGTAAAGTATAGTGTGTTATTTTATGTATTATGAATAAAGTATACAACATATTATTACACCCTATATTATTAGATACCTATATGGTTACTTAAATTAAATAATTTATACCCGGATTTTACAAAATTTAAACGTCGACCAACTCTGCTATGCTGATTTTTATCAATCTTGTTTATGAATTTTTTAGTGTATATTCCAGGACTTATATTTGTAACTTTTTTATGAAAACTATTTAAATATTTTGAACTAAAATTAAATGATGAGACTGCAGCATTACATCTTGCACTGTATGATCCTAAAGTACAAAAAAATGTTCATGTTATATTATTTAAATATATTTTGTTTATAAATTTTATGTTGGATATAAAAACGTATAACTCAAAATTTAAACTTTTACCTCGTAAAGAAAAATTCACCCTTTTTCCACCAATACATTTTGCTACTACACTATTAAAACCTTCTACAGCATTATTGTTTACATTGTAAATTAAGCTTTGAGCATGATAAGCAACAATATTTTTTGCTCCTGATATATCTGCCCATAAACCACAAGTTTCCATTTGAGGAACTAAATCAATTTCGTTGTCTTTTGGACCAGTGCAAAAATAACTAAATAAAAATAACAACTGTAATTACTTGTAATAATAAAATAATAATTAAAAATGTTAATTATTAATAATTTACCTTGAGCATTCAGAATGGCTACCAAATACATGAATGGACTATTTAAAATATCTTTTTTTAGAAGAATCACTTTTTAATTATGCGTCAATAACATTTCTTTTCTATACAATATTGCTTTTGTAATCGCGCATCTAAAATATTATATAACATATTAATTTTCTCAATATAAAATAAAATAATTTATTATTATTATTTATATTTATTATTTAATATACTTTAATTTAAGTCATCTGCCTTTTAATTTTTTTCTTAAAAACCCTGGAACTACAGTTCCAGAAAAACTTTTACAGCGGAGCTAATACGTCTACAATTTTATTACAATAGCTTCTTAAAATATGGTTCATACATTCTATTTTTTTTACGTCTATATCGTGATCAGCGTAAGGTTTAACAAGTGTTAACTTATTCAAAACACTTAAATCTCCATCTCCAATTAATTTATTATATATTAGATTATGCATAGTCACACTTTGATAGAATCCCTCGACAATAATATCGGATTCCATAGCAGTATAGAAGTCCCACTGATGAGATGGTGATTCTTTTTCACTATTTTCATTTTTTTGGCAAACTGAACAGTGTTTATTACGTACATCCATAAAAAGAACTTTTTTAGTTCAATACCCAATGATAGACGCCTAAATAATAAATTAAACAACAACGTAACTAGTAAAAAATAAAATAAATAATTAAAGATCTAAAATTTTTATTTAGAGAATCAGACAGAATACTTAGTAC